GGTTATGTAATAATATGTATTCACGTTGTGATGGTTATTGGGCATGTGAAGATGGACGAGATGAAGATAATTGTGGTCACAGTAAATGCCCATCAGGAACTCAAGCATGTGTAGATCGTTTTAATTATACTGTATTTTGTTTACCTTCTGCACGTGTTAATGATGGCAATGATGATTGCTTCGGAGCGTCAGATGAACAGCATGAATGTCGAAGGTCTTATCCGCCAACTGACATATCACCACGCTTTCGCTGCTCAAATGATAATGAATGTTTATCATCATTTCAGTTATGTGATGATGAACTAGATTGTCCAAAAAGTCGTGATGATGAAGCAGAATTTTGTGATATCTTTCGATTCAATTGTAGCAGTTATTTAATAAACAATCGAAATGAAGTAGAGCAAGTTCTTTGTGGACTGAGTGAACAAGATAATCGTCGAATTCGATATTTTTCTGTTCATACATCATCTGACTATCCATCGTTAGGAAATACCGTCGTCAATGAAAGTTTTTATTGGCCAATAGATCAACCATCACTTATAAATTCCAATACGTTTATAATTAAGAACAGTTCCTGGTATTGTAATCGTGGAATTATTATTTATCCTCGAAGTGAAAATGATAGTTTTAACAATGTATGTAAATGTCCACCAAGTTACTATGGTCATTTATGCCAATATCAGAATCAACGAATTAGTTTAACATTACACATGAGTTCAGTTGATAGGCATACTACTTATGCTATTGTTATTATGTTGATTGATGAGATCGATAAACGACAAGATATTCATTCATATGATCAATTTGTCTATATAACAAAGCAAAGTTGTAGTATAAAACTAAATCGATATTTATTATTTCCAGAACGGCCAAAAAATATTTCCCATAATTATAGTATTCGTATCGATGCATTTGAAAAAACTCGTATAACATATGTTGGAAGTTGGTATTTTCCTATTAATTTTCTTTTCTTACCTGTCAATCGAATGGCTATTTCATTAATTTTATCAAATCAGACAGTGGATAATTCATCAAATTGTTTAAATACTTGCGTGAATAGCAGATGTGTAAAATATTTAAATAAGAATAAATATTTTTGTCGATGTAACTCAAAATGGGCAGGTACTCATTGCAATATATCAACAAATCATCAAATATGTTCAATTGATTCCTTTCATTTGGGAATTACATATAATCAATCAATATGTATTTGTCCATTAAATAAATTTGGTTCACGATGTTTAATGACATCAACATGTCCAATTGCTGCTTG